AGAGAGAGAGAGAGAGAGATGGAGCGAGGTGGGAGTCAGTGAACCAGAACAAACTGATCAAAGGGCAGCCTGGGTCAGCGTGACGGTTCCTTTTCCACACACAGACAGGGCAAAGAAAGTCGCGACCCTAGAATTACAAAGTTCTATCGGACATTTCAGGACGTTTTGAATTTCTTCGTTACAGGCAAAATCAAAGTCAAAGGAGGGAGGGTAGGCCCAGAGCAACCTACTTAGGGAAACTAAACAAATAGGCAACGGGGAAAGATCAGAGAAACGTATCTTTTTTAAGAGCATACGGGCAAAGGAATGAATGGAGAACCATGATCGCCGATGTCTGTTGCAGATCTGGCACTGGATGATGATGATGAGTTTCTGAGACCGTGAGGCCAGAAACTAAATGTCCTACCTGCTCTATCAAAATTATAAGATTATTCAGAGTCATTATCAAAAAATTAATTTCCGATAATATTTTAATTCTCCAAATTTTTAACTTCAAATTCGCAAAACCAGATACTGAATAGATACGGCTTTGTAATTCTAGGGTAGCGAGTGACAGGTCATAGGACACCCGGGGATGGAAGGGTTAAATAAATCAGAGAAAAGGAAGCTGGAGGCAAACATGATAATATGTGTATTAGCCTGCAGTCTATGGGCAAACAAGCAGACAGGCTGAGAGACAAACGCCATGAGCTGAAAAAAGAAACGGTTTGAGTACAATACAACTTGCACCTATAGGTGTTTATTTATGTACATGTATCTGTATATCGAGGCTCCCATTCTTCTTGAAACGTTTTCTTGTACAAGCACCGAATTTAACTAGCTTTCTTTCAGAATCTCAAATAAAATCAGTTATATGTGTGTGTATGTGTGTGTGTGTGTGTGTGTGTGTGTGTGTGTGTGTGTGTGTGTGTGTGTGTGTGTGTGCGTGCAGTACAGTTACAAAAAACTCCATTCAATGGTCTTGTCCTTCTCTGCATTGTTTTCTATGCGTTTATGTAAACTAGCTCTATTTCAATATTTTCCTGTTCGCACTTTTTTCTCCCATCTCTGGCTAGAGATTCTGGGTCGTTATGAAGTGTACATCGTGATGGATTTTCAAATTAGAAAAAGATTTAAATTAAAGGTTGTTGTCCGGTTCTGTTGTTGTTGTTGTTGTTGTTGTTGTTGTTGTTGTTGTTGTTGTTGTTGTTGTTGTTGTTGTTTTGTTTTGTTTTTTAACCGACATTCTAAAACTTTAGAAGATGTTAATAAGTTGACTGCGACCCAACCTGGGCGACTTTCTGTAGTAACGGATCTGACAAAGATTGGACTTATTGGCGACTGCTCATGATGAAGGGCGGGCCAAGATGTAGAGATGGGATTTTTCAACAGTCTGCGCATACCATACTACGAGGCAATAGTCTCTCCAGGCAATCAACTATGGGAGACTAATACTGAACACAGTTACAAAATGAAGGAATCTGGAACAGGTCAAACGTGATGGGAGGACTGAAGCTGACGTCATAAACCAGCAACGACATGGTCACCTTGCCCTGCATGCAGTGGCCGTTGGAGGAGTACGTCTTGGTGTCCTCTCTGAAACAAACAAAGGGAAAAGTAAGAGGCAATGTTACATTCTATTATTTTCTATTGTATTGTATTGTATTGTATTGTATTGTATTGTATTGTATTGTATTGTATTGTATTGTATTGTATTATATTATATTGTATTATATTATATTATATTATATTATATTATATTATATTATATTATATTATATTATATTGTATTGTATTGTATTGTATTGTATTATATTATATTATATTATATTATATTATATTATATTATATTATATTGTATTATATTATATTATATTATATTATATTGTATTGTATTGTATTATATTATATTATATTATATTTTATTATATTATATTATATTATATTATATTATATTATATTATATTATATTATATTATATCGTATCGTATCGTATTATATTATATTATATTATATTATATTATATATTTTTATATTATATTATATTATATTATATTATATTATATTGTATTGTATTATATTATATTATATTATATTACATTATACTAGCTGGGTGCCCCGTTCGATGAACGGACTTAATCGTCAAGTCATTGTGGATTCAGTGTGCACCGTATGTGAACGGTAGTCTCACTTGTTTACAATGGCGTCTCAGAAGACTTTCCCAAGATTAGATCTGAACGAAACTAGTGAAAATCTGAAGATTGAACACTACACTGGCTTCAGACTCCTTAGTACAACTGTGCACCCTTTTAGTGATTCTGAACCCCCGTTAATTTTTTCAAATTCAGAAGTTAAGTGGTTCGGACGTTTTATGGGATCAAAGTGACGAACTTTCACAAATATAATCTCCAGACGCCCAAAGAAGATTTGTTTATTTCCGGCGGAAGAGCAATTTTTATATCATGGCAAATGAAATATGTCTGCATTGAGATAACGAACGGGAAAATCATAAACGGTTATATAGTGTTTTCTATTTTTAAATTTTTTAGGCGAATGCAAGCACTTACTGAATTGATAGAAACTTAGCTTGGTCTTTGAATTAATGTAACTTCAGTAATTTTTTCATGGTTCTATGTTCCGTAGGTTTTTTTTAGAGCTATAGAAAATAACCATCCACACGTACCCAATTACAGTTGTATGTAATAATATATAGATTAGATTAGATTAGATTAGATTCTATTCTATTCTATTCTATTCTATTCTATTCTATTCTATTCTATTCTATTCTATTCTATTCTATTCTATATTTTTATAAATAATATTATACTATATTATATTATAGTATATTATATTACATTAAAAATGTCTTAAGAATACGTATCATCGAGCTTCTGGGAAAGCAAAGTACTCAGTGTGAATACATGTACACATGGTATGTGTAGCCTAGGCGCACTATTATTCTCAGGCATGCTGTCAACGTCGGTCGTTGGGAGGAGTTATGAAAGGCTCGACACTTACTTGGCTTGATCCTATCACAGATGTCTTAAACAACCTTCCCGATTTTAAAATGTTGTTGATATGAATGTCATTCATAAGTTATGCCTTTTTCCTCAGAGTTTTTTCTTTGATATATGTTTGTGTTATGTGTTGTGGGCCAATAACCTAAAACACTGAATAAACACCTACCTTCCTAACTAACTAAGCAACTTTAGCGTCCGGAAAAGACCGCTTGACCCTTACAATAGCCAACCAATTACATGTTCTCATTATCAAGTCAAGCTGTTTATTACAGTGTGTGTGCTTTCTGAGAATCTTACTTGCACAGTCCATGGGGAATGAACTGGTATCGCGGTGGATCAGAGTCGGAGAAATGCACGATCCTCTTCTCTTGGCCGTTGATGTTTTCCAGCGTGATGTTTGAGGCGTGAAACCTCAGACTGAAAAAAAAATCAATATCAGAACAAACTAAATAATTGATAAGCAATAAAAATTTCGAAGCAGCAAGGTAGTAGTAGTAGTAGTAGTAGTAGTAGTAGTAGTAGTAGTAGTAGTAGTAGTAGTAGTAGTAGTAGTAGTAGTGGTAGTAGTAGTAGTAGTAGTAGTAGTAGTAGTAGTAGTAGTAGTAGTAGTAGTAGTAGTAGTAGTAGTAGTAGTAGTAGTAGTAGTAGATTCTATTCCTCCGGTCGGTAGTATTGTTGTTTTCACCATTGGAGAACGCACTGTTTAAATGAAAGTTTTAAAACGCAACTGTTTGACACTATATGACGGTGACCGGGGGGGGGGGGGATTTTTGTGACTCGAGGGGAGAGACAAAGCAGTTTCAGATACAACAATAACCCAAAGACGACTAAAAGCAGCAGATCTGATAATTGACTCTTGGGAGGCTGGAAAGTGAGGACTGCAACGCAGGCCGGTCGGAAAGTACAACAAGTGATAAGAAAATTAAAATGCTCTAACATTGAATTTCTGATTCAATATATAAACACATAAGCGTTGACTGGCCTGGATATAGCGGAATGTGCAACTGCAGCTCGCGATGTTGAAGGATTATGACACGTCAATCTCTGAGTCAGAGATGACACCCCCAGGTATCCAGGTAAACATAATCATAATAATCTAAGAAACAGAATGGCAAATTAGTTAATGTGTCCAAGCTCTGAGTGTACTAGGCTTATGTTTGCTTCGTGCAGAGTGATGCAAAACAACAACAACAACAACAACAACAACAACAACAACTATACGACTCGTTTCTTAAATAGCTTCCTTCATATTGAAGTTTTGCGTTTCAGATTTGAACATAGCATTTGAAAACCAAAATGAATTTGTCTGGTATTAATTTCACATAAGTGCATTGAATGGTTTCGCTCTATATGCCGCATTAAAAAAACCCAACCCATTTTCAACCTTGTCCCCATTTTTGGAGCATGACGCACCAGTTCGCATTAGGCCTACCACTAAAGGTTGTATCAATTGCGCCATATTGCAAGCTACAGCAGTCTAACGAGTCAACAGAAGTCTGCAGATATTATTTTCCCGAATTTCGTTTGCCTGCTGAGACAAATGTTAAGTTTAGTAAAGAGCAGAGAGCTTTTTGTACTGAACATTACCTCTCCACAAACTCACCATCCCCGACATTTCGTAAGTTCTGCGCACGGCATGGACAGAATGCTTAGGAGCCCTCAAGTTCTTTGGTGTAATGAGTAGAGAAAGGTTAGGTCAGTTTGGATCTGCTGCCAATCAGAACTTAAAATTTCCTGAAGAAATGACCACTTCTGGTCAAACACACACCACGTGCTCCCTTTACACGTCATTGTGGTGCAGATTCCAATAGTCGAGTCCCAGGAGACGTCTGTCCGTAAACGATCAATCTGCAGTTAGGACTTTCTTATTCCTCAACAGTCTGCATTCTCAGGACAGATACGACTGTACCGTTTTCATATTCGCCTGTATCAGAGCATGGCAATGTGTTCAATACTCCTCGATTGTTTTGAAAAGCGCTGTCATTTCCTTGATGACATTTGGTTTAGTGCAATACCTATTTTCACCTTGAGGAAGATGTTAACTCCCAAAATGATGTCTATTGGGCATCCCACTCCCTATTGTCTCTAGAAGCCACTTCATACTGAATATGTACTGTGTATGTGGCTTTAAACATGGTTTAGCGGGTCCTTGTGTTTGGACGCCATTGGACATTTCGAACGACGCGTTAAAAATGTGTGAAGTCCAAAGGCGGGCATCTAGAACACTACTTCTATGAATTTCAAAAGGAAATCGTTAGTAAAACACTGTAAAAGAATTAAAGATATTGCTTAAATGTTACTGGGATGGAAAATTAAATGTCAACAAGAAAATAAAGAAAACTGTCAAGCAATCTTTCCACGACTTTCTTAACAAGATTTTTTTTTAAATGGTGAACTTACCATTTTGGGGTGTTGTTTTCTTTAAGACATTTCCGTTTTCAAAATTAGTTTCTTCTTCGTGGATTTTATCTCAAACAAATTCCTTTACAGTGAATTATATTAGTTCCAAATTACAGCGTTCTAGAACAATATATGTGCGAGATATTTAGAAAAAAGTAGAATGTATGATTGGCAATGATTCTTGGTAGCTGATTACTGGTCTTCGGCTTATCGTCAATACAAGCTTTGAATATGCGTTTGACTTCCAGCCGTCTTTTTTATGTATTGGCCAGATCAAAAACGACAAAGGACCAAAGTCACGGGCGAATAAATTATGCCAAAGGAAGACAAGGCATCTAAAATATTGTTGTTTTATTATTTTTTTTACCGAGATAGCAGCTTCCCAAACCGAAAAGAGTTACAAGTTTTATATTTGCTGCGCCCTGATAGCGGGTCTTTTTAACTTGTATTGAGAGAGAGAGGGGGGGGGGAGGAGAGAGAGAAAGAGATAGACAGACAGACAGACAGACAGACAGACAGACAGACAGACAGACAAACAGACATACAGACATACAGACATACAGACAGACAGACAGACAGACAGACAGACAGACAGACAGACAGCTTGCATTTCTACAAAAAAAACAGTTTTCTAAAACGGAAAGAATTACCTTATCTTGCACTTGCAGTGATTAATCGCCTCTAGTAATCATTTGCACTTTTGTTATGAGGCCAATGAAGTGTGTGTTCTGAATAATTTCATCTAAGCGCCTGTGTATGGACTACATTTCATTTAACCTGTGAAAGTGAGGTTTAGAAGAGCAAAGACTGTGACATATTTTATATTCCAGTCACGACTATCTTAAAAAAAATTAATCCGTTTTGTCCACAGTGACACTAATTTATTTTATTTACGCAACACTGACAGGTTTGCTTACCAGGGGGATGTCTAAAATACCCCTTTAATCCTTCTTTAAACCTTTTCTGTTTGAGAGGCATAACGCTGTGAGTTGTCAGTTCACACGGGGCAGGAAGGTGTCTGTGATGTAGTAGTTAGGCGCTCTCTGTCGCACGCAAAAGACGGGAGTTCGATTCCCTTTAGGGAAGAATCTTATCGAGTAAATTCGTCTATCTACTGGGAACGTGAATTCGTCTCAGCCTGAGTTGGAGAGAGAGAGAGAGAGAGGGGGAAGAGAGAGAGAGGGAGAGAGAGAGGGGGGATGGGAGTTTCTTGAATGAATCTAAATTGTGTTCAAGGAGATGTCCAAAATTTGCAGTCAATCAGTCGATAGTTTGAATATGATACCACCCGCAAAACGACGTCGGTTCAAAGTAGTCCGCCTACTATATGATCTAATATTGGAGTCGATTGGGCCGTAAAACATCTACATTGACAATATTACACAGGGCAGCATCCATGGAGCAATGTCATGGTCCTCCAACCACCGGGTAAAAGTGAGGTCTCCACACGCACCACCTGGTTAGAGAGGTCAGGGGTCAGGAGCTGATGGGTTGTGTGATTGTAGACGTATTCCGATGTCGGATCTTTTTTCATTTGAATTTCTGTGGATAGAGGACATGTATGTGACATGGAGAAGGTTGCCACCAATTGGTGGACAGACAGACAGACAGACAGACAGACAGACAGACAGACAGACAGACAGACAGACAGAGAAAGAGATACTCACAGGGCAAAGAAAGTTTCCCACGAAAAATATGTAGATGATTAGTAGGGGAATAAATGCTCGTTAAACAAATTCTCTGTACACAGGAAACTTTAGATGACAGCCATTCTCAAGACCACATCTCAGTTCAGATTTGTGTAATGTACAAACCGTGCAAGCTGACTGACTGAAGACAGATTTCGTTATCTGAGAAATATGTGTGTCCTTGCCCTGCAAAAGCGGAATAATATGATAGACAGAAGACACGTTATCTGAGAAATAGTGGTGTCCTTGCTAAATACACGAAGTCGTCAGACTGATCCAGGACGCCACTTCTTTTGGAAAGTCCACTTTACATAATTGTGTGACGATACGGTGGAATAAGGCACTCGTCAATGTAAAAAAACCCAGCTTTATTTATTTATTTATTTATTTATTTATTTATTTATTTATTTATTTTTATTTTTATTATAATTTTTTTTTTTTTTTTGGGGGGGTGCATTATTGATATAATCTTTAAAGCTTCGCGGTTTGTTTGGGGTTTTTTTAAAGTGTTATTTTTGTTTGTTTTTTGTCTTGATTTTGATGAAAAATACCCATCTGTCTTGAATAAAAGTCGAGATATTTGCGATTGAAGGAGGTTGGGGTCGCCTGGTGTCTGAGTTTAAATTAGCCAGAAAATGATTTCCAAAGTTTGAACACTTCCAAAGTTTGAGTGGCTTTGAAAAATGCTTATTTACTTTTTTGTGCTTTTGATTTACATTTTGAAGCCAAATCCACACAAACGTGTTTTTAACTTGACAGAAAAGATGTCAAGTCAAAATACAAATCATTAAAAATTGCCTAAGAGATTTCTCCATTTTCATTATTCTGACGAGCGTCTGGTTTCACCGCTTTGCCACTCATTGTATGAAGAGCTCAGAGGAAAAATGCATTAGTCACAGAAAAATATAATTGAGGATTTCTGCCTTTCTTTCAAGTGTTCATTTAGACTACTGCTTTTCTTTCCGTGTACGAATGTTTTAATATGTGATTAATAGGTGGATATAGCAATTTCTAATTTTTTTTAAATATTATACTTATGAACGAAATGAAACAACAAGACAGCGGATCAAAACAAACAAAAGCAAAGATTGAAAATTGTGATTAAATCATTTTACCCCTCTGCTTTTTATATTTTTCACAGTCGACCCGGCTGTAGCTAAATAGATCTGTGTACTTGGAATCTATGAAAAGTGACGTTGATCGACTAAGGGCGACAGAAATTGTAGAAAGGTATCAAACGACCTGTCAACGATCTAAGAACTGCAGTGTACTTTGATTTAGTGGCTAACAAAAGAATAGGAGAAGGGGGAGGGAAGGAAAAGCAGGAGGGATTAACGTAGATACTAATTTGGTAACAACAGAAACAACAACAACAACAAGAACAACAACATGTTAATGAAGCTTGGTAGAAGTCCAACAGCCTCCTGGCTAAGGCGGAAATAGGTTACCCACCCCCCAAAGAAAACCCCCTCATCACCAGACTGATACTCTAGGACGTACCACAGAAATAAATATTTGTGACCACCAACCTGAAGTGTTTAGCAGCTCTTCCTGTGTCAGAAATGCGTTCTTCACTGCTTCCGGCACGTCTTCGATCGAAAGATCTCGAATTGATGACGGCTGGTCTGGGAAAGATGCGGAAATGCTTTTATCTTCCATACTCAACTCGAACGAGCCGATCTTCGCCGACTGTACATCGGCCGGAGAGCGTCCGCGGAGGTAGCTGCTGTGTTCACGGGAAGGCGGTGGTGCGCACAGATTGGAGTTGGCACATGGGCTGAGCCAGTACCTCGGCGCTTGCTTTTCGGCCCCAGGGAGTTGGGGGCCAGGGCCTCTGTGTCAATGAAATTATGAATATTTGAGGCTATTACCATTCTCAGGGAGTCAGGCAGCTGCATAACAAAGAAAGTGTTGGATTGGAATCCACTGGGTAAAAGATCAAGGGGAAGACCGCGTGGAACCTGGAGAAGAATCACAGAAATTTATGTACAGAGAAGTGGAAAGACATGGAATAACACAGAGAGGCTAGCCCAAGACAGAGAAAGGTGGAATGTGTTTTGTCGTGGCCTATACCCTGGTGCAAGGTAAGAAAGGTAGATGATGCTGATGGCCATCATTCCGTAACAAACTTGGTATTGACTGACTTAAACCCCGTTGAGTCTCTTAACACTATGTCACCGCATTAAATGTGGTGAGAGGTTTCATGGAGGGCATAGATGTGCAGTTACTTTTCATAAACAATTCAACTATACGCGTGAAACAGAGGACATTAAATATTTATTACAATGATAATATGTCTCAGAAAGACCACTAGTAATCAAAACAGTGAAGAACGTTGAGAACACTGAAGGCAAAGACGTAATGCCCTAATTACTTGAAAAAAAGTGTCATATTATTATTATGGAGCGTGCACGCAATTAATTAGACCTAAGTCCAAAATACACACTGCTTCGTCGGTATTCCCTGGGTATCTTTTTCGGTTGGATTTCTTTGTCACACTCACAACCGAACCTTTCAGGCTCAATCAATGTAAATAAATGTAAATATTTAGCAGCTAACGTACCAAAGTGTGATCAGAGCAAAGTGTGATCATATGCGTTTTGCTTTATAAACTCATTCCTTTCAAACGTATTGAGTTGAAACTAGGGTCCCAGCCCCCTATTCCATGGCCCGTTGACAACTTGAACATGCTGTAGAGCAAGGAAATGCACTGTAATAATGCATTTATTATTATTGTTGTTGTTATCAGTGTATTATTATTATCATTATTATCATCATCATTATTAAAGTTCCCAGATTTACAGATTTTTTTCTAAAGGAAGAGTGCCTTTCAGTCTGCTGCCCTGTACAGGGCCCGAAGGGGAGGGGGTGGGGTAAGGGCAAGTGTTTTCCCTCCAAAATAAATATAATACTCAGGTGGAGAGTTAAAACCACACCAAACCCAGCTCCAGCTTCCTTGAGTCTAGGTGAGTAGTTCTGTTTAGTTTTTAGTTAGATTTTTATGGCTCTGTAAACACGGTTAATAGATTATGTAAGTGCCGAAGATTAGAGGTGCTACTAGAGAATAATATACAAAGAAAGGAAGGGTGCGAGATGAGAGGGCTGCAGATGTTTGATGGGAAAGACGGAGCAAACTGCATCAGGCCACCCACCAACCACACACACAGTCGTTCTGTGACAGAGGCAATAAAGAAGCCCACCGAGAACCCTAGTTCGTCCCATTTCAAAGCATGGCCTTTCCATGAAAACCCGAGTGGTTACAATACAAAGGCCATCTCACCCATGAATTAATGAAGGAAACAATTTCAAACTTCCATGAATGTTCGAATGCAACGAGTCATTATCATGTGGATATTTATTTATTAACGTCGTTCGGTTTTCATGCCCTTCGCTCCGAGTAGGGTGAAAGGAATAGGTCATCCATAACAGTAGAAGTTTGGAAGGTGGTCTGCTTCATAATTCATCATAAAACACTCCCATGTGCGCGTATTGTAAGTAAGACAAAAAGTCTCTGTGCGTCCTTGTATGTGAGCCTTTTAAACAGGCCATTTCTAGAATGAGCGTTATAATACAATGGCTGGAAAAGAGATTAAAATAATGAGGACAATACTTTCCACATGCATTACTGCACTGCGATCGATAGGTTCAAATGAAAACGGAGAGGAGCACTCTGAGATGTTGATGTTTAAATACTACACCCAGTCAGACTATCATTCTTGTAGAAGCATACTCCGTGCAAGTTTTGATCTTGATTAGACATTCTTCCACATTCACTTTTGAGACTAATAATTATCCTGTACATCTGCACCTTGAAAAATAAACGATGGCATAAAATTATTATGCTTAAATTTGTCGACGACTTTGTTTTCTGGTTAGCTGTTACTGTTAGTCAGCATCCATAACGCTGAACGGCTTTATACTTAGAAAAGGACTTTTGGTAATGAAATCTGCAATTCCAACTCCCCCCCCCCCCAAATCCCCCTCCAAAAAACATACAAAAACAAACATACAAAAACAAAAAACAAAAAACTACGTGTGGAAGCCAGTTATCTCAGTTATTTTACCACACAAAAATGAATTTATTTATTTATTTGTCAGTCTATTTATTTATCTATTTATTTATCGATTTTTATTGGGGTCGTTCTCTGCGTTAAAAATGCATAAAGTTGAAAAATCAATGTTTTGATCCAAATATCATGTTTTGAAGACTCGCATCCCCTTAAAAAACAAGAAGCCAAAGCATGCACAGTTTAAAGAAACAAGTTACCTGTTGAACTCTGTGACTCTTGTCATTGAAAAAGGTATATTGTGTGTGCGTTGCCTTTTATATTCATTCTTGGCAGATGCGCTGGTCGCTATAAGCAGCAATAGCATAGTCCAGACAAGACATGGCATCTGAGGGTACAATAAATATTGTCATTTTAGTAGATCATAAAACGAAAGCCAATTTTTTTTTAATATTTATTTAATAATTTATTATTTATTTATTTATTTATGGTAAATTTATAGAATCACTCCCGTCTCATAAAGGGTGTTATTTTGCAGCTTTTACTGTGTTTTTTAGGGCCCTGAACACGAGATTGGCATTTAAAAACTTCGCAAATGGTTATTTCAAGGGGGTAAGACCCCTCGCCCCCCCCCCTACACACACACACACTGAACCCCTCCCCTACCCCCTAATTACTATAAAAGCATGCAAAAACCCCAAAAAGCCAAACTGGCATGGATAGCAGCCCTGAGATGGGAGTGATTCTAAAAGAATACCTATTTTATTGGTTCATTTTATTTTATTTATTTTTTAATTGGGGGGGGGGGGGGAGGGTGTCTGTGAGATTTTCAATATGTGTCCTCAGCAATGTACGAGAAAAATATGATATGTTGCCAGTGGTGCTTATAAAAACGCTTGTTTCTTTTCTCGATTACAATGTATTTGAAGCTTGGGTGGTTGGTGGCTGCTCTGACGTGGTTTACTCCTTCTAACGTATCAAACATCTCTCGTCTTTATCTCCCCTCCTTCTTTTTTTTTCTTTTTTTTTTTGTTTGTTTGTTTGTTTGTTACTCTAGTAACACTTTTAATCTTCTGCAATTATATGACCATATTGTGTTGCAAGCGCCGTAAAACTTTTATCAAAAAGAAAAGATTATTTGAAGCTCTTTGAAAACAATAGTTATTGCTCTTACCCTAAAAGAAGAGTGGCCCTTCTTGTAGCATCACCCTTTTGAGACGATTCAGATATGTCAGAGTAATGAAAAGCAATGTAAAAACTCAAACTCTCTGCGATCATAAATACGTGCTGTGGTATGCATTTTCAGAGCCACAATGCTATACAACCGGCGTATACGTGTGCTATAGCGGTTAGGTGCTTTGCTGAAGCACGAAGAAGACTTGAGTTCGATTCTCATGTGGGGAGAATTTTGATCAATTATTTTGGTCGTTCTGTTGGGACATTGTACCCCTGTCAGTACTGGTTGGCTCTGATGGGCAGGGCCAAAACTTGCCTTCTAAATTATCTAAATTGTGTCAATGGGAACGCAAAACACCAACAGCTTGAAAATGAAGACCATGAACTTCTCGTTTTGTTGTACGGATTTTTCTTACAAGTATTCTTTGAAAATAATTTAACTTGGGATGCATATTTTTTCCAAACTCTTCACTCCCAAACGGCTAATTTGCTTAATCTTCTCACAATTCGCGACCTTGAAGGTGATAATAACGCATGCACAAATAAAAATGCGCATATGCACGAACACCCATACACGCCCACACACATACACGCACACACACACACACACACATACACACACACACATACACGCACACACACACACACACACACACACACACACACAAACATACACACACATATACATACATACATACATACAGCAGAGAGAGAGAGAGGGGGGGGGGCGGGGGGCATTGAGAGTGAAAGCAGGAGAGAGAGGGAGAGAATAGGCTAGAAGATTCATTCTTGTAGCACATGAACGAGGCAAATTTTTTTTATTTTTTTTTTTTATTTTTTTTTTGGGGGGGGGTCTTTAGATTATTGAAAGTTTTCATTAGCAGCATTGTGAAAGGACTTCAACTTAATACGGTATTGATTTCATAGGAAAAACCCTTTATTCAATCATTCTTTTTGAAAACTTTTCCGCTATAAATGTTTAAAATGTTGTAGGCCCTCGGTGTGCTTTTGTTTGATCAAGCCGTAATTATAATGGCCAAGCTCCGTCAATTTGAACTCAAAATAACAAACTGCTCCGAAAGTACACCAAAGAGGTCTGTTCTACAAACAAAGTTGAAAGCAAACTCAAAGTACGCCTCACTGAACTCAGTAACCTTTTAAAGGGATCGTTGTGAACATGTGCCAAAGTGTTTAGATTATTTTTACTTTAGCACAAACGACTTATTGCGTTCTTCTTTTCTTAGTTTTCCCTCGGGACAGTTTACTTATTGATGAGTCTAGCTGAGAAGAGAGAGAGAGAGAGAGAGGGGGGGGGCATACAGACACACACACACACTCACACACACACACACACAGAGAGAGAGAGAGAGAGAGAGAGAGAGAGAGAGAGAGAGAGAGAGAGAGAGAGAGAGAGAGAGAGCTGAGTCACTCACTGTGGTGGACACAACAAGACATGGAAAACAAATTCTTCTCGAAACAAAGACAGATCCCTTCACTATGTCCGGCAGAGCATGATCGTTCATTGCGGCTGTTCTATTATTAGTATTTATTATTATTATTATTATTATTATTATTATTATTATTATTATTATTATTATTATTATCACCCTCATCATTTTGGTTCAAAGGGGGGGGGGGGTTAATTACAATTTGACATTGCAGTTTTATCGCTAAAAAGATATTTTCTTTAGTTATTCATTCATCCTTTCGTTGCATGTCTGATTTTTAAGAAAAACTTACCCTAAAATTCCGCCAGACGTTCTCCATCTTATAACGCTCAAACTGTCATACCAACACGCACAGGAAAAGTGAAGTATTCTTTACAGCCTGAACACAGAGGACGTGAGAAGAGTATTTCAGACCGAGTGAGCTCACAATACTCTTGGTCCTAAACAGAGCGCACAGCTTTATCTTCCGTCGGGTGGGTTTTCCAATTCGGTGGGCAGTCCTGTCTAAATACCATAAGCTCACTGATTCTGACAGGGCAAGAGTTAAAGCTGCGTGTGCTTGCGCACACATTCAGCTGTAATCGCTTTGACATGAACCGAAGCTGTGTTTGTTTCCCGTTTAACTTTAAACACAGCTTTAGGCGTTGCTCTTGCGGCTGATGAGTTGACACTTTCATAAGTAGGGACAAAATTGAAGAAACGGAAATGTCTGGAAATGGTGTATCTCAGAGCAATGGGTGAACACATTTTACGCCCCTCATTCAAATAAGATCTTTAAGGAGGCGGCCTGGTTTTACCCTGCAGGACAGGGGCAAACGTGGGATGAGTAGGATGCAGTATTTCGGCTGACAGACGGAGACTCGATAAAATGATACATTCCTCATTTCGAAATCGAACTTTTGTCTTCTGCGTGTGACAGAAAATAACCATTACTCTTCAGATGCTTATCGAGATGCGTCTGAACATGCTTGGTACTAGACTGGGCAACAAAGTCGAGGAGCCTAGTTTGAATCCCAATACGGATCCCTTTTGAATGTCAGCTGTTACGAGAATCTTCACAGCTATAATATGTCAACTTATCACTCTCTTCATGGAGATGGACTTCCTCTAGAGACCTCACAGTTCAAGAAGCTTACATCGTTAAAAAGCGCGTTAAACCCCACTATGATACTAGTTTTCAATGTCTTAAAATACCAGGCTGCGAACGAAAGTAACATGGGAGAAAAGTATGCGGAAGTCTACCAAGCAGGCTCAGATCCGTGACCATGTAGATACAATGTACATAATTCTCTGCTTTGAAAGGTTAAAGGTCCGACTAGACGTCTTCCGCATAGTTTCATGGGACTGGTGGTGATGAGAATCGAAGATAGCGTATTTGGCAGTTTAATGTGAATGTTAGCCAAAGTTACACCTCTGTACAAATGGTGGTCTTCTTGTAAAATTGAAAGAGATAACTTATTTCTTGCAGACAAGAATTCAGAGTTTAGGTAAAAGTAAAGACTTTTCTACCGTTTCTAAAAGGCAGTTTTTCTGTGTGTGTGTGGGGGGGGGGGGGTTACTGTTGAGCCAAGTTAGACTATTGTTGTGACGAACGTTGGTTGAGGTGAGCAGCACGTACTTTATGGGAGGTATTCTAAGGGAAGGTTATTCTGTCGATTATTGAAATAAAGGAACAAATCAGTCGTTGGTGCCCTTCAAAAATCCGTAATATATAGCTGGGAGCTAATAAGTGTAAACATTACTTCTCTTGTTTGCAAATATTGTGGTTTCGAATAATCTGTATAGCAAAAACGAAATTTTGACCTTTATATACAATCTAAACAGGCAGCCAATGATCTTGGAAGTTGTATACCTATTGGGTTGTGCTGCTATTAGCTTCCACTGTATTAGATTTCACCACTCCGTGCAGAAGGGTATCTGATAAAGACGGTTGGGTTAAGGTGGCGTACCATTTATCCCACTTTTAAAGTCATTTGTTTCAAAATATTTGAAAGGGGAAGGAAATCTGTATATGAAAATGGAAACTGAGCCTGTGTTCAATCAATGTTGTTACGAAGTGGTGATTGATTTGTCGTGAAATTAATGGTATTGCTGGCACGAGGGACTTTTCTCATAATATTCTTTTTTCCCTTTGTGATAGCACGCTGGTATTTGAAAAAAGGGGAAAAAGGGGGCGGGGTGAGGAGTAACTAGAGGGCTGATATATTTTTTTTATAATTTCGGTACGGTGTTTTACGTCCCCATCGATTCAATTTAGATTATTTAGGAAAGAGGGGCGGGATTGGGGGGGGGGGGGTTCGATCCCACTTGTTGGGGCCAACCGGACTGAAATGAATACAACGTTGCGCTGAAAAGACCGAGATACTCGATTAAAATTCTTCCCACACGAACTTAACAGCTTCATCGGCGACGCCGGTGGTTAATAAAAAGCAGAGGCAGTCCTCTTTGACAAACTCCGACAAAATATTATCATCATTAAAATTCTAGCTTTAGTCCCCTGTGAACGCTGATATTCTCTACAAAAACCATCAGCAAAATAGTAGTGTGCAATAATGATAATACGTTCTTCAATTAAGAACTCACCTTGTCATCTTCCTCTGCATAGCACTGATGACCAAACAGCACTCTGTTTCTTAAATGGAGCAGATACGATCACTTGAGACCCAAATGTGAGCGTGTTTCGTGACTTTTTGTCCCACAAGCTAGCTACCCATCCTGCCGCCCAAAAGGTATACAGCTTTTTCCTGATACTCAGTT